AAAAATCAGAATTTAAATTTTTTTTATTAAAAAACTGGTTTTTCAACTTATTTTGACCACAAATACATACAAAACACCTTTGGAATTGTTATAAACATATTCCTAGCCTTAAACAAATCATCCCAAAATCAAGAAATATAAGGAAACATGTTTAATATGTCCACAATGATTTGTATGTGCGTGAACAGTGTTGATGTCTACAGTGAATATCCCATATTTTTTAAATATTTAGTATAATTTGATTAATATCCCATGATAAAACAAAAGGATACAAAAAAATAAAAATATATTTAGTTAAAGAAATAAGATATAAAATAAATGTGTTTTTTTTTATAATTTTGCAGCAATTTCAAAACAAGAAATACAAGGAAAAATGTTTCATATGTCCTTATTATCCCTTTCTTTTTTGTCATAACCAAGTATGATTTAAATGTGAATAATATTTAAAAAACCAATCTATTAAGTACATAAAAGCACTAACAATTAGATAGTGCTTGATTACTGTGCTATGATAGAAAAGACGGAGATAATGGAAATAGAGAATATAAGATGAAAAAAAAAAGATAGATAAAATTATGTTATGATAAAAAAGACGGGGATAGTGGAAATAAAGGATATAAGATGAAAAAAAAAAAAGACAAAGATAAAATTATGTTATGATAAAAAAGACAGGGATAGTGGAAATAAAGGATATAAGATGAAAAAAAAGACAAATAAAATTATGTTTGGTAGTGTTGTATGAGATAAAATAACTATCTTTGTATCTTATTTGATTATGGTAGATAAGACAAAATAAAATATAAAAAAAATTATTTTTATTTTAATAAGTATTATTGTCAAATTTGTATATATATGTTACTTTAGTTTATATTAAGTGTTAAAATTAATAATATTATAATAACATTAACTATAAAACTAGAATTAACTTAACAAGTTAACTTGAGACCTGAGTGATTATAATTTAAAAAAAATAAAGGAAATTCAACGGTTAATAAATTGAAAATTATGTTTGTTAATAAATAAAAAAACCATAAATGATAATTTAAAATAAAAACTAAAAAATAAATATAGATCAAGATATTTAATCTTGTAAGATATAACATTTATCCGATTGTGTTTTCTAAATTTTTTTATTAAAATAATATTTTTATTCAAGCAAATGATAATAAAAACAGAAACAGAGACACAAATTAAATTGAATGAATAAAATAAAAGGAAAAAAACACTATAGAAGGCTCAAATATTAGAAATATTAAAATTTTTTTTTTCAAAAATAAAGTTGATCTATATAAAAGATAAAAAAAATTATAGATGAATTATAAAAACTCTTCAAAATTTAAATGTATAACTAAAAAAATAATTATCATTTAAAAGATATTCTCTAAACAAAATGAATATTAATCTAAATATAAATACAAAAATATTTTTAAAAAAATATATAAAAATACATTAATTTTACAAAAGAGTTAGAAAAAATTTAGAAAAAACAAAGAAAAAAAAAAGCAAAGGTCAGACGTTGCTAAGCTTAATCTATTTTGTTATGATCTATGCTACGGGACCCATATTTTCTTTGTTGCAACTAGGGTGGATAATATGTCCTCTCCTAAAGCAGATAAAAAATTAATTGATTTACTGAGATTTTAATCATTGTGATGGTTAAAAAATCAGAATTTAAATTTTTTTTATTAAAAAACTGGTTTTTCAACTTATTTTGACCACAAATACATACAAAACACCTTTGGAATTGTTATAAACATATTCCTAGCCTTAAACAAATCATCCCAAAATCAAGAAATATAAGGAAACATGTTTAATATGTCCACAATGATTTGTATGTGCGTGAACAGTGTTGATGTCTACAGTGAATATCCCATATTTTTTAAATATTTAGTATAATTTGATTAATATCCCATGATAAAACAAAAGGATACAAAAAAATAAAAATATATTTAGTTAAAGAAATAAGATATAAAATAAATGTGTTTTTTTTATAATTTTGCAGCAATTTCAAAACAAGAAATACAAGGAAAAATGTTTCATATGTCCTTATTATCCCTTTCTTTTTTGTCATAACCAAGTATGATTTAAATGTGAATAATATTTAAAAAACCAATCTATTAAGTACATAAAAGCACTAACAATTAGATAGTGCTTGATTACTGTGCTATGATAGAAAAGACGGAGATAATGGAAATAGAGAATATAAGATGAAAAAAAAAAAAGACAAAGATAAAATTATGTTATGATAAAAAAGACAGGGATAGTGGAAATAAAGGATATAAGATGAAAAAAAAGACAAATAAAATTATGTTTGGTAGTGTTGTATGAGATAAAATAACTATCTTTGTATCTTATTTGATTATGGTAGATAAGACAAAATAAAATATAAAAAAAATTATTTTTATTTTAATAAGTATTATTGTCAAATTTGTATATATATGTTACTTTAGTTTATATTAAGTGTTAAAATTAATAATATTATAATAACATTAACTATAAAACTAGAATTAACTTAACAAGTTAACTTGAGACCTGAGTGATTATAATTTAAAAAAAATAAAGGAAATTCAACGGTTAATAAATTGAAAATTATGTTTGTTAATAAATAAAAAAACCATAAATGATAATTTAAAATAAAAACTAAAAACTAAATATAGATCAAGATATTTAATCTTGTAAGATAGAACATTTATCCGATTGTGTTTCCTAAATTTTTTTATTAAAATAATTTTTTTATTCAAGCAAATGATAATAAAAACAAAGCTACAAATTAAATTAAATAAGTAAAATAAAAAGGGGAAAAACACCATAGAAGGCTCACATATTAGAAGTATTATTTAAAAATATTTTTTTCAAAAAATAAAGTTGATCTATATAAAAAATAAAAAAAAAATTATAGATGATTTATAAAGACTCTTCAAAATTTTTATACATAATAAAAAAAATTATCATTTAAAAGATGTTCTCTAAAAAAAATAAATATTAATCTAAATATAACTAAAAAAATATTTAGAGAGAAAACCATATAAAAAGACATTAATTTTACAAAAGAGTTAGAAAAAAAAAAACAAAGGTAAGATGTTATTAAACTTGATCTATTTTGTTATGATCTATTGGATAGGATCTTTAATTTCTTTGTTGCGACTACGGCGGATGATATTTCCCCTACTCAAGCAGATAAAATATCAATTGATTTGCTCAGATTTTAGCTATTGTGATGACTAGAAAATTAGAATTTAAGTTTTTTTTATCAAAAAACTGGTTTTTTAAACTTATTTTGATCTAAAATACCTATAAAACACCTTTGAAATTGTTATAAACCTATTCCTAGCCTTAAACAAATCGTCCTAAAAACAAGAAATACAAGGAAACATGTTTCATATGTCCACAATAATATATATGTGCGTGAATAATCTTGATGTCTACAGTGAATATTCCATATTTTTTAATATTTAGTATATTTTGATTAATATCCTATGATAAAATAAAAAAAACAAAAATATATTTAGTTGAAGAAACAAGATATAAAATAAATATGTTTTTATTACAATTTTAAAATAGTTTCAAAACAAGAAATACAAGGAAACATGTTTCATATATCCTTATATTTTTCTTTTTTATCTTGATGGAATAACCAAACATGATTTAATTATAACAAGTACAAACTAACACTAAAACAATTACGAGAACCAATCAATTAAGTACATAAAAGGACTAGCAAGTAGATGGTGTTTAATTATTGTTATGAGATAGAAAAGATGGAAAAACAGATGAAGATGAAGATAAAATTATGTTTGATACTGTTACATTAAATAAAGTAATTATCTTTATGTTCTATTTGGTTATGATGGATAAGATAAAATAAAATATAAAACTAGATAAAGTGACTATCTTTATGTTCTATTTGGTCATGGTGGATAAGACAAAATAAAATATAAAAAAATCTATTTTTACTTTAATATGTGTTATTGCCAAATTTGTATATATATATGTTACTTTAATTTATATTAAGTGTTGAAATTAATAATATTATAATAACCTTAACTATAAAATCATGATTAATTTAACAGGTTAACTTGAGGCCTGAAGTGATTATAGTTTAAGAAAAAATAAAGAAAGGATTGATTTAATCAGACTTGGTTAAAAACCTAAGTTAATTAAGGATAAAAACAGGTAAAAAACTCATTGATTTTTTTTTTTTTTAAAAATATTTTTATTCAAAATAAGGTTATTTTGATTGTTTTTTTAATTTTTTTTAGATAATCCAGGTTGACTTCCCTGACTTGTGACTTAAAACTTGCTTAAGTCGACTACTAGTCAACCCTCACGACCCAAGTTTTGTTCCGGATCGATTATCGAGTTGAGTTTTAAAATTATATTAATAACAATTTTTATCCTTATATGTTTTAATTGAACAATTTTATAATTAAGATTTTCTACGATGATATTTTAAAAATAAAAAATAAAAAATATTGTTTTTAGAAACATGTATTATTTATATTTTTTGTTTTGAAAGTATATAAATTTATTATAAAATTGTCTTACAAATAAATTTATTTTTATATTTCTATCTCTTTGATCAAATACATTTTTGTTTTCAATGTTTCTATCTCTTCTATCTGAAGACAATAACTAAAAGCTACTTTTGTGAAGGTGTGTTAGGTATTACGATGAAAATTGTTTTTTTATTTTAAAATATATTTAAATAATTTTTTATATTTTTATATTTTAATATTAACACATTAACATTATTACAAAAAAACTAAAAAAAATAATTTAATATTTTTAAATACAACTAAAAAAAAATAATTTAATATTTTTAAATACAAACTCACTTTTAAAGCACATTTAAATAAGTTTCAAATGCAAAAACAATTCAGTGCTTAAAGTTACCTAATGATCTCACTTCATTGCAAAACATATGAGCCAGCCCCAATCATTTATTATTTTACATTTGTGGCTGTAATTTCATGAAACGCCCGTTTCGACCGCGTTTTCAAACAGCGCTTCGTGCGGCTAGACCAAACCTTGGGGTTCTCTCATATAACTCTCCCAAACACAATCACAAATCGAAATTGCATTTGTCTTCGACTCTTGAATTCAGAGAATGGGAATCCCATCTGAGCTAAGGCATTACTGGGCACAAAAAACATTATCCAATCAAAACCTTAATCATAATGGTTATGATATTAATAATTTTAATGGAAGATCTTTGTTGATTGCTTCTCCAGCTGAAGAACAGAAGATTTTGCAAGCTAGACTTTGTACTCAAGGTTCTTATTCTAAGCTTTCTTTTTATACTTCTCATTTTTCCTTTTCTTCTTTTGCGTTTATCTATATTATTACTGTTTCTGGATCAGATTTAATAGTTCCCTTGCATAAAGTACTCTTCTTTCTGTTTTTGTTAGATTTTACATTCATCAATTCATCCCAATCCAGCAAAATTGATAAAAGTCTGTTATTATTATTATTATTATTATTATTATTATTATTATTATTATGGGTATGATGGGTCAAATTAATAGAGTACTTCCTAGCATAAAGAGCTTTTTCTTTTTGTTAAATTTTGGAATCATCAATTCAATGGCCCAGTTCAGAGAAGATGATATATTGACTGGTTTTCTGGGTAATTTTTGCAGAGGGTGTACGTGCAGGAGTCAAAGCAGCTGTTATCACCTGCGTTGCCACTGCAGTGCCTACAGTATGTTATGATCTTATAAACTCTTTGCTATTTCAATTTTTTTTCATGATAATGTGAGCCTGGGAGCCGATGATTGTTTAATTTCTGATGCTGTGTGCGCTTGCTGATGTATTTTATTAGGATCTGTCAGTTTAGAAGCTTCAATTGCTGCGTTTGAGCTCTGTTTTTAACCACATGTGATTATCTCGCTGTAATTTGACATGTTAATAATTTTGGGAGGAATGGAAATTTTCTGGCAGTAATGTTTTGCTTGATTTTATTTGCTTTTCAAGTGAATTTAGCTGCAAAAGATTTATCTAAAGCTCCTCTGGTGCTCTATTGTTAAGTATAGGTAAACAGATGAGCAAATTTTAATGGCTAAAGTTAAAAAGAAATTGGTGTATGCTCTGGAATCAAATTTAATCTGAGGGATTAATTGTTTGTCGCAAATTGGAACATCTTAACACTATGATGGTCTGCATACAATGACATTAATAGAACCTTTTAAACTATCCATGCCATATAGCAGTCTGGGAAATATTGTCTAGGAAAAAACTCAACTTCAATCTGTGATGGATGGTCCATCCCCTGGAATCAAGGGAAGTCAAACTGAGTAGAATAAAGAATTATGTTGGTGATGGATAGCCTGTTGTTGCCAAGAATAATAACCAGTTGGAGATGGGCTTTCATGGAGTTTGAGTTTCCCAGTTCAAATCAGTCCCTTTGTCAGTTCTGTAATTTTATAGAAAGTAATGGCAAAAACTTGTGCAACTTGGCTTTAACCTAGCTGACCAATAAATTATAAGTAAGGGATCGTGGACTTCAATTGAAAACCCTGCTTCAGTCATCTTCTTTTAAGCCTCCTTTCATTATTGAAGCAATCTGACAGTTTAGGAAACTGTTTATTTGTGCTGTTCGATTGATAAGTTGTGGGTAACTCATTGTTAAGTAAAACATAGGGGGAAAATGGAGCCTATTGTGTGTGCGTGCGTGCGTGCGTGTATTTATATAGTGGTTGTCTATGCTTCCATATCAATTGAGATCAAGAGAGGACAAATTGTGGATTCAACCGTTGTAGAAAAAGAACACCGATGCGTTCTTCTGTTTTCAATCAACATGGAAATAGGTGCATCCATATTTTTCTTTGGCATCCCCTATTCACTAGTATAGCTTTGGTGCCATTTAAACTTGATACATTCTACTTAAAAAGGGCTGAGAATGTTTTATCATTATTGTGTTTCTTTTGAATCTCCAGCTAACTGCTGTTCGTGTGATTCCTTGGGCAAAGGCTAACCTCAACTACACTGCTCAGGCACTCATTATATCTGCTGGTATGGTATTAATATCATTGGAAGTGTTTCTAACCTGTTTTTCTATTCCATTTTTCACACATGGAAAGTTATTTTTTCCTTCTTTGCCTTTGAATTTTTTTTTTTTGGGGGGTGGGGGGGGAGCTGTTATTTAGTGGAGCTTGCTCAAAATCCCTGAAAGATTTTAGAGCAATGTGGACTTATGTCACATGAGTTACATCTTGCATGGTGCCAGTATATATTCATACATGAAGGTACCAAGTAGCAGTTTATGGGAAATCTAATGTCTTTGATTTTTATGTGATTTCAACAGCATCAATCGCTGCATACTTCATCACTGTTGACAAAACTATCTTGGAGTGTGCAAGAAGAAATGCTCATTACAATAAAAGAGATTGAGAGGATGTTACGAAGTGCAGTTTTATGTTGGAATCATGTCTCCAATACCAAAAACACATTGCTGTCTGTTGTGCTAGAGGTCTTGCATTTCAACAGTAAGACCATTGTTGGGCAGCGATATTTTACTTTTGGTCCCTCTCACCACGCGAAGATAAGATGAGTGGACTTTTTAGCATATTTCAGTGAGGATTTCTTTTGTGACAATGTTGCTTTATCTTATTAAGAAGTGCATAAAGTTTGATGCCATCTTTATGTTATTAGGTGGTGGCACTTGTTTATAGTGTTTTGTTGCAACCTTTTCTATTTGTGTTTTTAGAAATAAAATGCACTAAAGAAGTTTCCGCTGGAATTTGATTCCATTGCCAAATGAAGGCAAAAGGAAAATGGAAGAAATTAGTGGGTACTCATCCATCCATCCTGGTGTTTTGTTGAAAGGAACACTTAAATTTCAAATCTGAGAGTAAAAAGTGATTATATTAGCTTTTATTTATCAACTTCAGGTGCTAGAGCTTATCCGTTTGAATTGTCAAAAAAATAGTTGCCTTCCAAGAGAAGAGACAATGACATCCTGGATGATATCAAGATTTTGATTGGTGACAGGAAACGTTCCATATATTCACTGGCGTTTTGGACTCTCAGATGTGTGATTTTTCATGGATACTATATGAACAAAACATACTAGACCTTTGAAACGCAGCTTGTTTGCATAATGGCTGCAACCACCACAACGCCCGCATTTCTTACACTGCAAGACCGAGTAGCCATAGTCACAGGGTCTTCCTGTGGCATCGGCAAAGCAATAGCCATCAACTTAGCCTCACTGGGTGCAAAACTTGTCATCAATTACACTTCTGACAAGGAGCAAGCTGAACTTGTAGCTAAGGAGATCAATTCTGGTTGTGTTGATGGGATCCCACGAGCTGTCGTGGTCCAAGCTGATTTATCTGAGTCTGTGCATGTGAAGTTATTGTTTGATGAGGCTAAAAGAGTGTTTGGATCACATGTTCATGTTTTTGTTAATTCAGCTTCCATTGCTGATTCTAAGGATCATATCATCGCTAACACTTCTGTGGAGGATTTTGATCGTATTTTCAGGTTCTTTAATAGGTAACTTGGTTAATAAAACTTGTTTAGTGAATTTAATATGTCGCATAATCCAGTTTGTGTGCTTCTGTTTCAGTGTCAATTGCAGAGGAGCATTCTCATGTTGCAAAGAGTCCGCAAACCAGGTAAAACAAGGAGGTGGGGTGGAATTATATTGCTGTCAAGTTCATTATTGAAGCCAAATATAGCAACGGATACAGCATCAAAAGCAGCAGTTGAGACAATGACAAAAATACTTGCAGAGGAACTCAAAGGGACTGGTATCACTGCAAACTGTGTTGCGCCAGGGCCAACTGCAACAGACATGTTCTTAACTGGGACTAGTGAGGAACATATTAAAAGAGTGATTGAGGAGTGCCCACGGGGGAGGCTTGCGAGGATGTGGCTCCTCTTGTTGGGTTCTTGGCTAGTGATGCTAGTGAGCGGATCAATGGACGGTTATTAGTATTAATGGTGGCATTGTCTAGAGTTTGGCTTGTGCAATACTTTGAAATTTGTATCCTCTATATTAATGCGACTATCTTCCCTGTAATTTGATTATTCCTCTTGTAGAGTTGTACTTGCCTTCACAATTTTACTCTTTTCTGCAAAGTGAAAATGTGGTGACAAGCAATAAACTGCTGATAGATAAATGCTGAAAATTTCTAGAAAAACTCTCCTCCCCCTCCCACTCCCCCTCCTCTAGTACAAATCAATATGGTTCATGAAGAACAATAGTTTACAAACTTACCACGGATCTTGTCTCAAAATATACCACATAACTATTAGAGAATTCAACTTAGGAAAAGAAAATGGTTATTTTGAACGGCTAAGTTGCAGTAAACACCAATCTTAAACATAGCCACCATTGACACGAATGACCTGTCCGTTTATCCATTAACCGGCATCACTAGCCAAGAACCCAACAAGAGGAGCTACATCCTTGGTCTCGCCAAGTCTCCCATGCGGGCACACCTCAATCACTCTCTTCACATGCTCCTCGCTCCTACCGACGAAGAACATTTCAGTGGCAATTGGCCCCGGTGCCACACAATTTGCAGTAATACCAGTCCCTTTGAGCTCCTTCGCTAGTATTTTTGTCATTGTCTCCACTGCTGCTTTTGATGCTGTGTATGTTGCTGAATTTGGCCTCAGTGCACCTACGGATGAGCTCGATAACAATATGATTCGACCCCCACCACCCTGTTTAATTCTCTTTGCCGCCTCTTTGCAGCATAAGAACGTGCCTCTGCAATTGACACTGAAACGAAAACATACAATTTTAAACACAAGATAAAACAAAGTTAGAGCTTTTTAAATCAAGAAAACCAAAAAAAGAAGAAGAAGAAGCGGAAAACACCAATTTCATGACCCAATTAAATCAGAAAAGGCACCTGAAAATACGATCAAAATCCTCTACTGAAGTGTTGGCAATCGTAGGGTACTTGGTGTTAGAAATAGCAGCTGAATTGACCAAGACATGAACCTGTGATCCAAACACTCTTTCAGCCTCATCAAACAATAACTTAACCTGGGCAGGCACAGAAATGTCAGCTTGAACCACTGTAGCATGTGGGGTATTCTCAGAACAGCAAGAATTGATCTCTTCAGCTACAAGATCAGCTTGGTCCTTGTTAGAAGCGTAATTGATGACAAGTTTTGCACCTAATGAGGCCAAGTGGATGGCTATGGCTTTACCAATACCTCGGGATGAGCCTGTCACTATGGCTACCCGATCTTGAAGCGGGAGAGATGATGGGTTCACCAGGTCTGTTGTTGCCATTTGTTGGATGGAAAGGATTGGTGAATAACAAATATGGTAATTTACGGCTGAGAGTTATGAAATGAGCAGCAATCATGTTTGTAATCAAAGCCTTGATGACATCAGGAGGATGTCTAAAAAAATTCGTAAAGCTACACGGTTTATAAAATACATAAAATATTTGGAGATGTAACGTAGTTACATGAGGTCCATATGACAATTACACAGGCTGACTCATAAATATAATTTATCATTTTTATTTTATATTTTTTTATCTACAACGTGCAAGTCGAAAATATTATTTATAATTTTTTTTAAATTTATATTTATAGATCTTTTTTTCTCCTTTCCTCCTCAGTCCTCACTCTCTCTCCCTGACCTGCCCCTCGCTTCTCACCATTGTCAATAACCTCTTTTCCTCTCTCTCTTCACTATGCAAAATAACTACAACAACACGAGATCACTTATCTCTCTCTAGCCTTGGATTGCCAGCCATTTGTTTCTTTCTCCATCGCAGCTCATCCATTTTCTAGCTAAAATAGCCATGATCATTATTATCATTTACATTTTATATTCAGAGATATATTAAATACTTTTTCTCTATCAATTTGATTGAATTTATATTTATATGTGTTAATTCGATTGTATAAAATGTTAGAGTTTTGAATTTGAGGTTAGGTTAATTAGATATAAAATGAGATGATAATTATGTTATTTTATAAAATAATCAATTATTTTGGGTTGTTATTAATTGTGAATTAACAAAATTATTCTGTAAGAGTTAGTGTTGATTTAATTTAAATTATGAATTATAACAAATTACATATAAAATAATAATATCAGCTATGAAATATATGAATTTGATTAATAGTTTTATTACTGTAGTGAAATTTGATGGATGTAAGTTTTGGCCAATTAATTTGATGACTTTAGATTTTGGTTGATTATATTATTGTTATGATTTTGTTAATAAATTATGCACTTTATTTAATCCTAAGATATTAATAACTTAGAATTATGTTTTGTTGTGTTATTTGATAGAATATCTAGTAATTTAGAAATATTATACTTTTATGGTGATATCATTGTTAATAACAACAATGATATCACTTATAATAGAGGAAGCCATGAATTCTGAATTGCTACATTAAACATGTCTTCTAATGAGTTATCTAAAATGTTATATGATTGACTTGGCTAAAGTATGTTTGGAATAGAAGTTGAAATTACTTGGAGGATGTTACAAATCGAGGTCAGTCAAGGTTGTTATGTCGGTGTACCAATTTATTATGACATGAGTGTGAATTCAATATTTAGGTTTATGATGATTAATGAGAATACTAGAGCTCTACTAGAATAATAACCCTAGACTAGGAAACTCTTATAGTATGAAATTAACCAAGTTTTAAATAGCTCTTAGAGAAACACACAGATATCACGAGTTACTGGTTTATCTATGTTAAGTGGTAATGCAAGTAGATAAATATTGATGCAAGAATTTAATATAGAGCTTTAGTTGGGTATGATATCTAATCCATATTGCTACAGATAACTCAAACCAAGTGATAATAAAGATGATTGTTATATTGATAGAGTTGTGGTAAAGGAGGAAGTGAATATGTTGATTTAGTTGAGCCTGTTAATTAATGCATGGCTCCCTTTGATCCTGAATTTTAGGTTGTGAGTGCGAATGACTAATACAAATGCAATGATTGGGCTAATAGTGATAAGCATTCGGGCTTATTAGTTAATGAATTAGAGGTTGCAAAATAGTTTAAAGACAATTTTAAATGTATTAATATAATAAAGTTATGATATACAAATAATTCATTACAGTGCAAGGTCTATCATTCATATAAAATTTATGTTCAGTTGTAATGTGTTCAGAAACCAATTTGTAGATGATATTTATGTGGAGAATATCACCAAAGGTCTAATTTATAAGAAATTTCAAAATTGAATGGGCCATATACATATCAGAACTCTTTTGTTTTTCAACGCCTTCATTCGATTTGACTTGGATCTAATTATTGAGGTGATATTAATAATTATGAAGAAAAATTTAATTGTAGGTATTACAACAATTCAAGATATTGTGGAGAGGGATTATAAGCATCATGTCTTCTATTAGAAGGCGTAGATGACTAATATAAGCATCAAGTCTTCTATTAGAAGGCGTAGATGACTAAATAAAAGATATTGGTGTGGTTATTTAGTACCATAAAGAGTTATCTCAAAACCTGTCTAAAATGCTACTTACTGTCAAAGATTCAAATTCATAAACAATTATCACTTGGGATTATAAAATGATTGATGAAAATAAAGCAACATTTGAGAAGGCATTTTAGGTATTTTATGCTTTAATTAATGAGTTTAAATATTGTCATCCTCTAACTAGTATTGATAATACTCACTTTTATGGTAAGAACAAGA